GGAAAAAGACAAAAGACAAAAGACAAAAAAAAAAAAAAAAAAAAACCTTTCACAAAAAGCTTTTGTTGATCCTGCACCCTGCTCCTGACTACTTGTAACCCAATGAAGAGAAGGTGCTGAGTTACTTCTCAGCCCTTAAAATCGTAAAATAAATGTCTCTGGCCTTTTAACACCAACAAAGGCGTTAAAGGAAATGGAAAAAGTGAAGGTGAAACTTTACATTGGTTCCATGAAATCGCGTGACTGCTTTTCCTTTAGATTAGTGCTGATGGGGATGTTCTTTATCTGCATTTTCCACATATGGCTACTGAACATATGAAATGTGGCTGGTAGTGTCCGTACTGGATGGCACAGCTCTGGACAGAAGGCAAACTCTGCCTGCTCACAACCTATCTAACACCTTGCCCTCTGAGGTCCTCATTCATTAATTCATTCGGAAAATGTGCTTTGAGCACCTACCACATACATGGCACATGGTAGGCACTGAGGGAATAGCAGGAAACAAATATAAGAACACCCCTTCCTTTAAGGTGCTCAAATTCTTTTTTTTTTTTTTTTCGTGCCTGGCAACGGATCGCAACCCTCAGTGTCGCACCCGTACCGGACCGGGACTGGCAACGGGATCGCAACCCTTGGTGCTGCGCCCACACCTCGCTCAGCCAGTGAGTGGGAACCGGTCTGTATGTGGGATCCGAACCCTCAGCGGGAGCGCCGCCGCACTCCCAAGCGGTGCACTGTAGCAGTGCGCCACCGGGCCGGCCCCAAGGTGCTCAAATTCTAATTTGTAATAATGGGCCTCGTTAAAAGCACCAGACACATTGAGGAACTGCTTCTTCAAAGAACTGTGGGTTAAATGTCTCTATGTGTGTGTTTTGTTTTGTTTCTTAATTATGGTATTTTGGAGCAGAAAAGCAAATAATCACAGCTTGAGAAAACAATGCAGTTCAAAGGACTGAAGAAATTAGAGGCTACAGAGAGTCTGTGCAAGAAAAGATAAGTGAACTCCTGAACTTTTTACAGAAGGGCAGCATAACCTCAGTTACAGAATCACTGGTTTGGAGGTTATTTCTGAGGGGGGCCATAAGCTCACCTAGTGCCACAGGAGTGACCAGGCAGAGAACTGAGATTCAGCTGCCAGGAGCAGGATGGAGGAATCCCCTGCAAGAATACATTGAACAATCTCCATTGGAGATGGAATCAAGTGAGAACCAAATGTGTGACTGGAAAAGGTATTTTCAAGTAGTTGTAACAAATACTTTAACTATTTGGCAAAAGTTTTTAAGGGCAAAAAGAATAAGAGTAATGCTTTGATAAAAGTTAGTATTAATAACCCAACCAAGATTCAGAAAGCTTACCCCACTAGTAAATGAGAAGCCATAGATAAGACGACTACCACTGGCCCCATGCTCTTTCCACTACACCAGGCAGGGAGCTGAGCTGGGTCATATTTCACCAGCAATTTCTAAGACGCTGGACACTACAGCTGAAGAACACACTATCAGGCCAACAAACTCAACAGCCAAACTCTGGTCAATGACAGATGGTCTTAAAGGATCAGAACTGGGTGCCTGCATGGAGAGTATTTGCCAAGAAGAGGAGAGAGGTTGTTCAGAATCAATACATTTGGATTATTAATATCGATTAAGCCCAGAACTGAGATCACTCATCAGCAGCCTTACCTAGTTCTGGGGGCAGAACAGTCAGGCGGTTTCCCTGAATGTGGAGTTCCTTAAGCTGCGTAAGCTCCCCGATTTCCTTAGGCAGTGAGATCAGGTCGTTATCTCTAAGGCTGAGCTAAATAAAAAAAACAAGCAGTTGTCAAAACAATTTCATATAAAGAGGTGCTCAAAAGAAACTCTCGCCTTTTCCACGCTCTCTCTTCTTCTAAGACTCGATCCTTTCTATTTATTTACAAGTGTCTGTGGATAAACAAGAAACAGTATCAGGAGTAGTGGTTTATTCCTGCAAAACAAACCTTACTCCTGCTCAAATTGACTTGATTCTACTCCTACAAGGGCTGCAGAAGTGAATTGATTTTCTAGGAATTTAGATAAATTACTTACTATCTGCAACTTTGTGAGCTTCCCAATATCTGGCGGCAGGATTTCAAAATCGTTGTCACTTAGATAGAGTGCACGCAGGGTGGCTGCAAATTAAACAGCAATATATAAACAGGGTGGCATGGAACCCAACCATTTGAGGTCTGATCAATACGAGGGAGTCAGCTTTGATTAATAACCGTGGCTTGGTGAAAAGCCTGTGACATACCTAGAGCTCACAATAATAACAAGCAGGTCAAACTGAGATTTACTGGCTTATTGTGTGGCTGGTGTGTCCAGGAAACATCTATATCCAAGAGGACTGACACAATTAACAACCATGGGCACTAGCAGTTTACAGCACAGAGTTTCAACAAATTTCCAGAAAAGATATGTATTTTTCTCTATGACTTCCAATTCACATTTATTACTCCATTTGCATCTAAGGTAAAACAGAGAAAACCACTGTGCCACGTATATCAATACCTTGAGCAAAAGCACTCTTTCATGTAAATAGAACTATGTCAACATAAAACTTTTCTTATGTAAATAGAACTATGTTGAAAATATATAAATGAAAGGCTTTCTTGTGATGGAGGCCCTATCACAGTTCATCGTTTCTATTATTTATTTATTTATTTATTTTCCTTTTTGTCTTTTTTACTGGCCGGTAACGGGATTGCAACCCTCGGTGTCGCGCCCATACCGGGGACCGGCAACGGGATCACAACCCTCAGTGTTGCGCCCGCGCCGCGCTCAGCCAATGAGCAGGAACCAGTCACCACATGGGATCCGAACCCTCGGCGGGAGTGCCGCCGCGCTCCCAAGCGGCGCACTCTCCAGTGCGCCACCGGGCCGGCCCGTTCATCGTTTCTATAATCAGACTAATTATTATTACTTATTTTTATAGCTTCAATGGCTAAAATAAATTAAAACAATGGAGCTAAAATAGCGACATGGAATCAACAGAGCAAACCCTAAGTTAAGCAGAATATCATTCCTCAGAAATTTGATTACACAATGATAACATAATCCTGAACTGCTAAAGGCTAAAATCTGAAAGCATTTTTTCATCTTTTACCAAAAAGGTGGTGTATAATTAGATGTATATTTTGTTTAATTTGTTTACAGGTATTTAATTATATTCTAATGTTTTAAAAATTGATAGTACTGTATGCTAATATATGTAACAAAAACAATTTTCTTCCTGACCAAAGAAAATATTTTATAGCTGGCTTCATGTGCTTGGGAAAGCCTGAGAGAGACAGTGTATATAAGGCAAAAAATGAAACTTTAGACAGTAGCTCAGAAAATTCAGAATTCCTGGATGCCACTATTTGGAAAAGTAGAAACTCAATTAAGGGAAACAACCCTTTCCTAAATACTTCATGAGTTCCCAGAAAATCTGTTTTTCCTCATTTTTAGGAGCATTTGCAGCAAGAAATTAGTTTGCATATGAAAGGATAAAGTGTTCACTTGTCGCTAACAATTTCTTAATGTTTAACTATGTGCTAGACAACAGATACGTCAATAAAAGTACTTTTTAAAAGGCTTACAACAAGAATCTGGCTGGAAATTTTAAAAATTCTGTTAGTGGTTTATTAATGGATATTTTTATAAATAATTGATTAGAATATCTTGGGCAAATATCCTACAAAGAATTAATAGCAACATGGGAGGACACATTTTTTTTTGGCATGCTCTTTGAAAGAAAGTTGAGTTTCTTAGCTAAATGTGAGACTCGATCTCATTTAGGTACATAATCTCTCCCAGAAAGTTAATATGACATTACTAAGTCCACTTCAGCCCTATGGTGTCACATAACCATATATCAAATATACATACTGCTGAGCCATGAAGGAATATTCAACAGGAATCTGTGAAGAAAAAATATATACATCCAATAATTTCTCTTGAAGTTTGGGCCCTGGCAAATAAATTTCACTCTTAGAATGCAAAGTACCATGGCAAGGAGATTTATAGAATTAAAAGTTTCTTACTAAGGTAGAAGAAGTTTCCAGGAAGAGAATTTTCACTCAAGTTGTTGTACGTCAAGTCCAGGACCTCAAGAGCTGGGAGAGAGCCAAATCCTCGAGGCAAAGTGTTTAGCCTGTTCATGCTGTTGTTGGGGGGGAAAATCCAAGTCACCACACACAGAACACATGTTTAAACACAATACTGAGATCATCTCTGTTTCACAGGCTGAAATTGAAGAGTGCCATGATTCTACAGTCACTTGATGCTATTTTATTTTTTAAATGTTTATTTTAAAATAAAATTAAAATTAAAATACTGACAAGTAGAAATTGTATATAGTTACGGCATATAATATGATGTTTTGATTCATGTATAATACATTGTGGAATGGCCAAATCCAGCTACTTAACACATGCATTACCTCACATACTTCTTGTGTGTGTGTGTGTGTATGTGTGTATGTGGTGAGAACACCGAAAATCTACTCAGCAATTTTCAAATATACCATATATTGTTAATAACTACAGTCACAATAATGTACAATAGATCACTTAAATGTACTCTTCCTGTCTAACTAAAATTTTGTGTCCTTTGACCAAAATCTCCCTCCCAACCCCCCCACTCCCAGTAACCACCATTTTACTCTGTTCCTGTGAGTCTGACTTTTTTACACTTTTTTACATAAAAGTGACAGCATATGATATATGTCTTACTCAGCCTAAAATTTTTAATCAGAGAACCTGTATGTTCATGAAACATCTGAAAATTTCTCCGTTGTCCTTTTCTCCAATGGTGAAGTTCAATCTTTGTTTTACAAAGAAACTTAAACCAACACAAAACATCCGTCCTAGGGAAAAACTTCCTTATAAATGTAGCAATAATACCTAAAAACTGTAGACTTTGGCTCTACTTTATTTCATTTATTCCTTTTAACAGGAGGGGGAAAAAATCACTGTTTGTTCTACAGCTGCTAACGTTCCAAATTATTCCCAATTAGAATGGTGGTTGTCAGAGGCCAGGGGGAGGAGAACTGTTTAATAAGTACAGAGTTTCGGGTGTGTAAGATGAGAAGAAACTTCTGGAAATTGGTTGTACAATAGTATGAACATACTCAACACCACTGAATTTATACTACAAAACAGTTAAGATGGTAAATTTTATGTTATGTATATTTTACCACAATTGAAAATAAAATATATGTCTATATCTATATTTTTATATCTTTAAGGGAATATCTAAGGTAATTTTTTTTTATTACTATCTTTTATTCTTTTCTACAAGACCCCTGTTTTTCTTAATGCCATTCCCTTTGAGCATACTTAAAAGCCAATTTAAGAAAAAACTTAAATATGTTGACAGGTATTGAAAGGTGGGAAGGGACTATGACACTAAAAAATCATTCTGGTCATTGATCCTTCTCATAATAGATACAGTCCCATCCCTCCTTACCAACCAAGCCTCACGAGAAATAGCCGAAAGGAGAGGTTGAAACCAAAAGGGAAAAGAGGATTCCACCTCTCAGGTAGAAAAAGTCCCAGGTAGACTTTACATGCAGCAAAATAACCTCCACGACTATTTACTGTAATGATAACAACAACACGTATTTCACACATTCACAATTTGTGAAGCACATTTATGTCAAGTATTTCATTCAGTTCACCAAAACTTCCTTAGAACACAGGCAAGATCAGACTTATAAATATTCCTGTGTTGAGATGAAGAAACAAGCTAAGAGAGGTAAAGTACCCAGGACTTCACCTGATAGATGAGGGCAACAGGTGTCTGAGAGCACCTCATATCTCACGGAGGCCAAGGTCACTCCTGACCCTGGGACTCCAATGCAAGGATTCTAAGTTGACAGAAAAATCAGAGGTAGTAAGAAAGGTAGAGAAGCATCCATTAGGTGCTTCTATCTTTAAATACTACTTTAAGTTACCCATTTTTGAAGACTGCTCATTACTTAAAGTTTTTCTGTGCAAACACAGAAACACAGCTTTGCAATATCAGGTACAGTAAATCCATTTAGACTTCCGCAGAGGGAAGACGCATCTCATCTAATGGGAGCTCTCATCCAACCTCCAGCCTAGAGCAAGCCTCGAGACCCTCCAGCCTCTGGTTACAAGAATCTACTAAACTGCAGGTACATTTTTCCTTTTAGCAATAAACCTACAACCAGTGTAGGAACAAAACGAACAACGGGAACACAGCAGAGTTCCCACGTGCTGCTGACAGTGGTAAGTAACAGTAGTAGCCCCACTAACCTAGCAGGCAGAAAGGAAGCCCTTACTTAAATGCTTCCAAAAGTCCAGAAGCAGTGCTAGGAACAGCCCCAGCTACAAAGAATGCAAGGAACTGTGGAGACTGCAGTCTGTCTCTCTGGACACCAGTACACATGCATAGAGACCTGGTGACATATCTCACTGCAGAATTAAAGGTGGGATGTGCTGGCTCCCCCCACAGTGGGCTCAAGGTTTCCATGAGAGCTTATAGTAGGGGTAGTGAACGAATAGAGCGTTAAAGTCTGAGACGACTAGGTGAGAAGTCCAGCTCCAGCACTTGCTGGGTCATCTTGGCAAAGTTGCTCAGCGTCTGTGAGATCCAATTTCTTCAACCGTTGTTTTAGTCCGTTTTGTGTTGCTATAACAGAATTACTTGAGACTGAGTAATTTATAAAGGATAGAGGTTTATTTGCTTGTGATTCTGGGACAGCTGCATCTGGTATGGGCCTCAGGCTGCGTCTACTCATGGCAGAAAATGGCAGGCAGCCAGCAGGTACAAGCAGATCACATGGCGAGAGAGGAAGCAAGAGAGACAGAGGAGGTGCCAGGGTCTTTTAAACAATAAGCTCACGCGCAGGAACTAATAGAGCAAGAACTCACTCATTTATCCCTCCTCCCCCAGGGAGAGCATTAATCCATTCATGAGGGATCCGCCCCCATGACTCAATCAGTTTCCAACACTGCCACATTGGAGATCAAACTTCCACATGAGTTTTGGAGGGGACAACACACCCAAACTCCATCATCCCACCCCCGGCCCCCCAAAACTCATGTTCCTCTCACATACAAAACCACCCCCGGCCCCCCAAAACTCATGTTCCTCTCACATACAAAACACAATCATCCTTTCCCAAAAGTCCCAAAAGTCTTAGTATGCTTCAGCACCAACTTAAAAATCCAAAGTCTCATCTGAGACCAAAAGCAAAGTCCTTCCAGCTGTGAACCTGAAAAACAAAACCAAATTCATCTACTGTCAAGATACAATGGTGGAACAGACATTGGGTACACATTCCCATTCCAAAAGGGAGGAACAGGCCAGAAGAAAGGAAAAACAGACCCCAAACAAGTCCAAAACCCAGCAGGGCAGACATTATGTCTTAAAGCTCCAAAAATAATGTTCTTTGACTCCAAGTTGTACATCCTGGGCACAAGTGGGCATCTGGGCCCCCAAAGCATCAGGCAGCCTTGTTCCCACAAGGCTGCCAGGCACAGCCCAGTGGGCCATGTTGGTGCCTGTGGCTTTTCCAGGCCTGCGTTGCATGTTACCAGTGGCCCCGAAGTTCTGGGGTTCTGGCAGCAGCCCTGCTGCATTGGCTGTACTAGACATTTCCCTGGTGGTGGCTCTCTGTGTGGGCTCTGACCCCACTTTCCCGCTCGGCACTGCTCTAGTAGATATCCTCTGCAGTGGCTCTGCCCCTGCAGCATGTCTGTGCCTGCACCCCCAGGCTTTTCCATACATCCTCTGGAATCTGGGTGGAGGCTGCCACATCTCCACTGCTCTCAAATCCTGCCGGCCTGCAGACTTAACACAAAGTGGATGCCACCAAAGTTTCGGGCCTCTACTCTCCCGGGCTGCTGCATGAACCACACTTGGGGCCACTCCAACCAGAGCAGCTGGGATGCAGGGAACAGGATCCTGAGGGCAGCTGTGCCCCAGGTCTGTCCTCCAGGATAACTCAGTCCTTCTAGTCCTCAGGGTCTGTGATGGGTGGGGCACCCTTCCAGGCTTCTCAAATGCCTGCAGGGCTTTCCTCTCATTGTCTCTGCTATTAGCAGCTGGCTACCTCACCACCAAGATGATGTCTTTAGCAACCAGTTTATCTGCTTCACCCTTGCATTGTTCTCCAGCTCTCAGCTTCTTTACCACATGGCCAGGCTGCAAATTTTCCGAATCTTTATGCTCTGCTTCCCTTTTAAATTCTGGCTTTATATTATGTCTTTGCTGCCATAACTCAGAGTAGGCTGTTAGAAGCCACCATGCAGTGTCCTTAAGGCTTTGCTGCTTAGAAATTTCTTCTGTCAGATACTCTGGTTCACAACTCTTAAGTCCCACCTTCCACAAAGTCCAAGGGCATGGACACAATGCAGCCAAATTCCTTGCTATGGTGTACCAAGGGTTATCTTCTGTCCAATTCCCGATAAGTTCCTCATTCCTATCTGAGAACTCATAATCCGCATGGCCTTTACTGTCCACATTTCTATCAGCATTCTGCTCACCACCACATAAGTCTCTAAGACATTCCAAGCTTTCCCTTATCTTTCTATCTTCTTCTAAGTCCTCCAAACTCCTCCAACCTTTGCCCATTACCCAGTTCCAAAGCTGCATCCAGATTTTCAGGTATTTGTATAGCAACACCTCACTCCTGGTACCAATTTTCTGTTTTAGTCTACTTTGTGTAGCTATAACAGAATTACCTGAGACTCAGTAATTTATAAAGAATAGAGGTTTTATTTGCTTACAATTCTGGGACAGCTGCATCTGGCATGGGCCTCAGGCTGCTTCTACTCATAGCGGAAAGTGGCAGCAGCCGGCAGGTGCAAGCAGATCACATGGCAAGAGGAAGCAAGAGAGAGAAAGAGGGGAGGTGCCAGGGTCCTTTAAAAAATCAGCTCTTGTAGGAACTAACAGAGCGAGTACTCACTCATTACTCCCCTCTCCCCCAGGGAGAGCATTAATCCATTCATGAGGAATCTGCCCCCATGACTCAATTAGTTTCCAACACTGCCACAATGGGGATCAAATTTCCACATGAGTTTTGGAGGGGACAAAACATCCAAACTCCATCAACCGTAAAATGAGGCTAACACCACCTTCACAGCAGCAGGATCGCCGGAAGGATGAGAGAGAAAACACGAAGCATCTAACATGATCCACGGCTCACAGGTGGGTTCTCAGGAAATGAGAGCTATATCTATAGCTATTTTTCAAGAGGTTTGAGAAAAATTTTAGATCAACACCAAACAGGCAAGCTTACCTTACAAGAAACCCATTTCAGATGGAACTATTTATACCATACCAGCTAAACCTCAGATCACTTCAGGTGTCTAAAGATAAAGTTGACTAGGGCTCAACTATGCCAAATGGTATAAATTCTTTTGTTTGCACATGAAGGTTTTTCAAGTGCATATTGTAAATGGACAAATGACTGCCTATGATGGAGAAATTTAGAAAACCAGATAGTCTATGGCAACTTAACATCTTTTTTTCCTTCTCTTCTTCAAAAGCCATAGGAAGGCCTGTAGTAATGCCTCATGTTTAGAGCAATCTGTTCTATGGAGATCCTTTTGGGCACCTCCTGCTTCAATATAACTTTCTTGTCTAAAGGCAATAATTTTTTCTCATCTCTACGGTGACCTACTCGCACACTTAGCAAAAATAAATAAATAAATAAATAAATAAATAAATAAATAATCCAAATCCATAAACACAACACTGTGCTTAGTGAAAACTTCTAAGTGTTCACGAGATGTAGCTCTGGCAACAAACTAGGTGGAAAGTTATTTTAGAACAGCGGAGCATGGTGCTCCCACAGTGAAGTTATCCTAGAAGTAACTACCTATGGAACCCACATGGCTTTACAATTTGGAGAGAAAATAATGCTATGAAATGAACCACATTTAAAGAATTAAGAACATGTCTAAACTTTCTTTTTTTTTTTTTTTCCTTTTTGTCTTTTTTTACTGACCGGTAACAGGATCGCAACCCGCGGTGTTGCGCCCGTACCAGGGACCTGCAACAGGATCGCAACCCTCGGTGTTGCGCCTGCACCGCGCTCAGCCAGTGAGCGGGAACCGGTCTCCACGTGGGATCCAAACCCTCGGCGGGAGCGCCGCCGCGCTCCCAAGCGGCACACTTCTCCAGTGCGCCACCGGGCTGGCCTGTAAACTTTCTTTTATTTATTCAGGTGGCCTAAAATTCTTTCAGGTCTTGCGAGTACCTACCAGAATAAACAGCAAATACTATATAAAACTTTAAAAGCAAATTCTGGTTGAGAGTGCCTTGTGGGTCATACATATGTGTGGCCTGTCTGCTCTGCCTTATTGTCTCCTGTGCATATATTTTTACTCTGGCTGCTTGTTCTAAGCAGTCTTCTCTATAAGTTGCCTTAAACTTGCCTTATTGTGCATGTCTAATTCTTTATGCCATTTGAGGACAGAAGCATCCTTTATTATATAGAACCCACCTTAATTCCTTTCCCAAAGAACTAAGAATTTTGTTCAAACTTTGACAACTCTATGTAGCTATGTAATTAAATACAGAAAGTTTTACACAATCAATAAAGCACCAACAGCCAGAAATGCAAACAACACCAAAAAGAACAAGGAGACAACTAAGATGCACTCAATGAAAAAGAAAAGCATCCAACTATGTCCTAAGGTCCCTCAAACCCAACTGAACAAAATCTGAGCTCAATATCTTCTTTCCAAACCTGTCTCCATCTGTATTTCTATTCCAGCTGCCCAACACAGAAATCCAAGTATCATACCACCCATCAGTCACTGTCTTGTCAATTTTGCCTCCTACGCATTTTTCATACAAAATCCCACCCCTGCCTCCACTGTCACTGCCCTAGTTCACCTGGAACACACAGCTGGTGTCCTTACTAGTTTCCTGGCCTCCAATCTACCTCCCTCCAACCCGTTCTTCATACTGATCTTTCATATGAAAATCTGACCTCATCTCATACCCACTACTCTGCTGTGCAAATTCCTCAATGGTCAGTAGAATAAAATTGAAGCCCCTTTATTTAGTACACAGAGCCCTTCATTAGCACTTCTGACTCCCTGCCATTACAGACATTTATTTATTTAGAGTCGGTTTGCCCAACTGTAATGTGAGCACCTTAAGGGTTGCATGGCCAGTACCTAGAACAGTGCCTGGTCCATAGTTGGGAACTCAATAAATACCCATTAAATGAACTGCAGGGAATCGTGCATATGATTCCCTGTCTACCTCTGCCACTTACCTTACCGCTCCTTGCTTCACACTTTACACTCAGCAATACCAATAAACTTGCAATTCCTAGAACATGCAGTGCCCTGAGCTTTTAAATATATCATCCTCTCACTTTGTCTTCCTTCTACGTGTAAGTCTGAGAAATCCATTCTCATGCATCAAGTGTCAGCTTCAGTGCTACCCACTGGCTGTGAGAACCCTCCCAAAAACCTCACCTGTAGACTAGCATGCTCCTAGTCTTTTTGCTCCCACTTGCCTTATCTGGCCCCAACACATCAGTGACCCTCACTAGACTGTCGCTGCTCATTTACAGCAGGTCCTGCTCCCCATCCTTAAGGCCAAGGATAGTGATTTCACCTTTGATCCAAATACCAGCAAGTTTCCTGACCCAATGTAAGCACTTAATGTAGTCATGAAATAAATGAAAAAAATAAGATGATGATGATAATAGCTAACGCTGTGTACTACTTATCATGTACCAAGCACTGTTCTAGTGGTGGATATAAATATGTTTATCTCGTTCAATAAAGCAACAAATTAACAGCAAGGACACACATATGTATCTAGTTTTAGCTTCTTTCTTACATACAAATTAAACATCGGGTCCTAATAATCTTTAAAATCAAGAAATGCAGAATTTTTTTTTTAAAGTAAGTATACAATCTCCAAATTGGTAGGGGGGAAAAAAAACACCTCATCTAAAGTGATTTCTCCCTCCTTAAAGTCTACTTCCCCTCATCCTTTAGGAAGAATATTCATGGATCTTATAAAGAACGGTCTGTCAGCCAGAGTGAACTTCAAAATAAGAGTGCCGCATTCTCCCCATGGAAAGAATGAACTAAAAATCATTCCATGAAGGAGATACTTTTTTTCATGACTGCTTCCTAATTGTTAAATACCTGGTCAGCTTTTATTGCCACTCCATGTAAATCAATAACTTAAATAGAGCATTTAGTGACTACAATTAATGAATATATTACTTAGCACAGAAAATGAAACATGAGTAGGCAGTTCCATCAAACGCCTGTGACAATGAAGAAGGAGTTCAGAAGCCAAAGCTCCTGTTGGCATCTATGGGGTCTGATGGAGAATGCACAGACCCAGAACAATGGGGTGCTCTCCCAGCTCAGCCAGTAACCTCCTGGGGGATCAGCAGCAAGACATTTAACCCCTGGGTAAGGGGGTGGCTTTCTCTCTGAAAGGAAAACTCTAAAACCTACCCTCCCTCCCTGATATTGAAAGAGACAAATGCTGGTGTGAGGACTCTGAACACTATAAAGCAATATACAAATACAAGGTATTATTATCATTTACTGCTACTTGGATCTGCAGCCTCAGCTGAATCAAACCTCTGCATAAAGAAAGACACAGGATTATAACCTTTCAGCTATGTCAAAGAATTGCAAGAATTAATGAAGCAGCATTAGGGAACACATCCTCCCCTCAATGGATGGAAGGTCCTTTGTGAACAATTTCTACTTGATATAGAGAGAAAAAGCAACCATATTACTACTTGTCTGAACAGCTTATGCTACGCAAACATGTCCCTTCTTGGTCAACATAACCGAAATAAAATTTAACTGCAAACAAAATACAGTAAAAAAAACTCCCTTATTGGGCCAACAATTAGCTTCTCAATTAGTTCTCAAATAGATATGCACGAATGTAGGCTGTTGAAAGGATATATTAAAACAATAAAACTTCCTTTAAAACCTAACACATAAAAAGAAATGAGAAGCCCACTTCTCCTATGCTATAATATAATCAGCTTGTCTCCCTGGCCCACAGAGACCCCCCTTCACCCTCTTCCTCTCCTCCATTTCCTTTCCTTTCCCCCAATACTCACCCGAGGTTCAGGTGTTTGAGTTTTTGAAGGCTGCTGATCTGCGTGGGCAGCTCCTCAATCTGGTTATTAAAAAAGTTGAGCACTTCCAAATTCTTCAGTTCTGCTATGTTTGCTGGCACAGCTATGGAAATAAAAATGCTGCCTGTGAATCCAGGAACCTCACACCTAGCAAGGAATGCCAGCAATATATTTTGTTTTTCTGTCAAATGAAAGAAAGATCTAACTCCAAGATGACCACTGAATTCACATATAGGTCTCATTTATTTTTAGTAGATTTCTTAGAGGTAGTAACTGACCATGGAGTAGAGGCAGAAATGTTTCTTCTTGAAGGATTAGATAAGTGCTTATCACAGTTTATATCAGACGGAGCATGAGGAGGAAAGCGAGAAGTAAAAAAGGGTAAAAGAGAATTTCTGTACCATAAATAGCCTATAAGTGAATATTACAAAGCATATATACTTATAATCATCATATAATGTCTAATAACTGCAATTGTTTTCTTCCTTTTAATTTCCTTGCATCTCCACCAGAAGACAGCAAATCCCCAATCCCTTCCTGAGTGACTGGACATTCAAACTATTTAAATAATCCAATATCTGAAGAGCTGTCCTCTGAACATTGCACTAAATCACAACAATTCTAGCTTAAAGTTATATAACAAAATATTCAACCTACCTAGTTTCTGGTCTTGGCCTCTGTAGTAACACACCTTGATCAACACACATGCATGAACGGCGCGCACACACACAGTTACATCAGATTAGCAACAGATCAATACATTGTTATTACATACAGATACAAAAAGCCTAGTCAGTAGCATGCTATGAATACCAGTATGCAGATCAAAGGCAAAAATAAAGCACTGAGGACCTGAAAAGTTCCTCCTTCCCTACAGTATATACCTGCAAACACAAATTTAAAAGCCAAAGGCATCTGTACTTCCAAAGTACAAACTCTCAACCGGTAACAGAAAGACTTTAATTCATCCATATCAGTTGCTATCCAATCTTTCCACAAACATTTGTATGGGCCATGAGCCTGTCCACGGTTCATGTAAACTCTTATACCAAGACTTTCCAGGCAACTAAAAACATTGACACAGCACAAGAAAGTGTCACATCTCATGTCACTATGGTTTATTTCCTATCCCACAAGTTCCCTCCAGTGGATGCTGGAAAACCAACCCACCTGCCTGCCAAGCCTAAACTCACAACCAGCAGCACCTGTGCTTAGGACCACTACAAGGTGTATGTAAAATTCCAAATATCTAAAACAGTTAAGGAGATAGCTATTTCAAGAACTCCAGTTAATAACTCGCAGGGGAACAAAAGTAAAGAGGACAAGCACACTGTTCATTATAGTTTTGAGTCATCATTTTCAGCTTTATGTAATGTCTATGGTATCACTGACCTGATTTCTTTTAGAGGGAAGGCTTGGTAAAAGGTAAGGGACATGCTCTCATTGGAAGAAGGGACTGTACAGAATATGATTCATCCTGGACTAAGACACATGGGTAGGGGGCAGTGGTCTCGTGATGGTGCTTTGGATAAACTTCTAATGTGGCTGGAGGCAAAAGGACAGATTTTTATGGGCTAATCTAGACAGCTTGGAATTATCTCCAGAAACTACATCTTGGATATCAACATGAATGCACATGAACCCTACCTGTACAATGTGGCTGCAAAAGCACATTTTTAGGTGCATAGTCAACGGAAAGCACCTTCTGAGCCACCAGGTGTCATTTTCCCTGTCCCTTCCGAAAAGCATAGTGTGTGAAGTGTGGCTGCTCAAAGACCTCACCCTGTCCACCCTCTGGCTACCATTAAGCCTTCTTTCACTGCATTCACCTGATTAGTTTGAAGAGCAATGAGGAAAGTTAGTGAAACCAGGAGAAAATGATGATCTCAATTTAGCCACAAACCAAGAATAATGCAGCCAGAATTACTGCCGCCTTCCCAAAGTTACTCTGCCAATGCAATTAAATGCTGGTCTAAAGGTAGTGCCTTTTTGACAGGATGAGAGATTATTTCACTCTCCTTGCTAAATCAGTCCAATTTAAAACCACAAATTATGCTAAATGTGATTTAGGGCTTTGTTTTCTGGACACAAACAATAACCCTATATTCAATTTACAAAACCTCTCCCAGCCTTTTGGTGTGCATGTGAATTTTTTGTTTAAGTCTCCATTCAAGCTAAGGGGGAAAAAAATTACACAGCTAATATTCTCCCAAAGCTACAGAATTTTTTTCCCCCAGTCATAGTAAAACTCAAAAGAAATTAACATTCAGACCCATCTGGGTGGGATATTATTCACTCTTTCAACTAATATTTAGAAAATGCTTATTATGTGCATAGTGCCATACTTTTCACACCTAGCATTTCAATACTTTGTGGCTAAAGTAAGAGAGGCATGCTATCTAAACAAACTTAGTTACAAAAAAAATGGTATCAGAGTCAATAAATTTAATCAGGTCTAGTGCTTGGAAAACAAACTAATCCCAACAAAACTGTCCAGAAAAAAATAACCAGTTAACAATATGTATTGTGCAATGACTAAATCATACACATACATGGCATGAACAACTTTAGCTATCATAAACAGGTAGCTGCAATATTTCACCAGTCAAAATGTTCTGTTAGAATTTCCCAGATATCTGCATGATGCATTAGCAAAAAGCATTTTAAAATATAACTAAGCAGTGAGCATCAGTATCTTTCTTATGCTCTTGAAATGTCCCTTTCTCATCAGTCTGTCCAGCTCCTGACCTGTGACCCTAGCTGCACTCACCTGGCCTAGAGACAACAGAAGCTGAACACACAAAAGAAACAGAAAAGCAGTGTGCTGTGTGACCACAGGTGCCCTGGCCGGGACACCACAGGCCTTGACTTAGCTCTACACTCACTGTGTGTGCCCTTATTCAACTCACAACCTCTCTGGGCCTCTGTTTACTCAAGTGCAAAATGAGAAAAGGTTGGATTATGACCATTTCTAAGTTCTCTTCTACCTTGTTTTAACATTCTCTGATTCTAAGAAGAGATGGATTATAAAAACCAATGATATGGATTTAAATAATTCAACAAATGGGGCCCTCAATTAGGAAGCTCAGTCATGTAGAACTTTGCTTCTGACAAGGAATTTAGTATTGTTTTCTGCTTTCATTTGGAGACTTTGGTTGCTAGAGTTGGGAGAACAGTCCCTAACCACTCTCAGGTGTTCCCTGGCTCCTAAACATCCCATTCTGTTCTAGCCACAGAGTCACATGACTGCTTGGCATACTCTCGGCCCAGAGCTTTCTGCTGGTGTTTTGGAAAAGGTAACAAAGATGTAGTCCTGTCACCCCAGAAACTATGTCTGGAGACTGTCCTCAAAGTATCTCGACCCTCTTTTCCTTCAAGTCCTCCTAAACTGAAGAAGCTGCATGTTATTCTAGAGATTTGTCTATCTGATGTGCCAGCTCAGACTCAGCAATTCAGCACTCTTCTCAAGCACAGTTTCTGGAAGGTTCCACAAGAATCCCAAAGTGCCCAAAGGGCTCATTAACATCTCTTTTATAAGCTCTGCCAGGCAGGAAGCACCTTTATCCAGCAGGACACACTAGATGCAGCAGAGCTCCAACTACAAGAGACAGTGGACCCAGCTCTACTCCTGAACAACAACTTTATTCCTTCTAAAGGGACATGCATCTATCATCATTAGTTGCATTTACAACAAGCACAAGCCAGCAGGCACTGTACAGACCAAGCACATTGACAAAATCAACATTACACTCAACAACAGGCTTCTTTCTCCCCACTAACCAGCAATCAGCAAATCATCCCCACCTTCAAAAGAAGATCAAAATAAAACACTGTGACAGCAATTGGAGCTTCACTCTAGGAGTACTTTGTTCTACAATATAAAACTAACAATTCCACAACCAACAACTTACAGCATTTGGGGAGTTTATCCACACAGCAGTAAACAAATGGCAAGTATGCTCTAGAGCTGGGCTGTCCTGTGGGCGGCCACTATTACTCATAACTATTTAAATGTAAATTGAGATGAATCAAAATTAAATAAAATTAATAATTCCATTGTTTGCTCATGCCAGTTACACTTCAAGAGCTTGACAGCAACATGTGGCCAGTGGCTCCCATAGTGTACGGCACAGATACAGAACATTTCTATCATTGTAGAAAGTTCTGTTGGACAGTTGCTCTACAGCAATGGGTCTCAAACCATAGATCACATCAGGACTACTAGAGGGTTCATTAATAACAGATTTGGGGGCATCCCCCAGAATTTCTGATCCAGTAGGTTTGGGATGAGGCCTGAGAATCTGCATTTCCCACAAATTCCCAGGGGATGCTGATGCTGCTGGTCTGGGAACCATATTTTGGTTCAGAAAACTTAATTCATTAGTGACATCAAGATCATTACTCTAGCATGTATGTCCCTTATTCCATGCAATGATATGAGTATAATAATCAAGCATCCAAATTAAGACTCCTATTGAACCTAGGGATTAACAAAAAGCAAAAAATCCAAGACATTCCAGGTGGCTAATACACTCAACCTGGGTGCTACAATCAAACTATTTCTAACCAACTTCTGCTTCCCCACACTGATTTTTATAGTGAAATCAGTATTGAGCAGGATGGACAAATATTCAAGGGAAGAAAAGCTCTGAACTCCCTAGTCCATCAATCAAATTAAGTCACTCAGCAGCAAAGTTCTCATGTCCAAGTGTGACCGCACACAAAGAGATGTCACTTGCTATACTTCCAGCCTCTGAAACCTTGAGGCCTAACTGTAGATGTTGGTAGTAATGACAGCACAGACAGACTAGCTTGGGTGCAGCCAAACTGGGGGCTTTTTGAGCAAAAGCATCTTGTAGCCCCGGAGGCAAAGAAACAAAACTGTGAAGAGCGACAGGATCTGGGAGCAGCAGGCACCACGCAAAGCATAAGGACAGGAGCTCTGTCTGGTGCAGCCTACAGAGGGTCGGGGGCCACACAATGGTCTTTACAGCCATCTGGTTAGCACCCACAGTGGATCATCTTCAGCTACAGAAGGGCAATGATAGACCGTGCACCATGTTAACACCCATGGCTGCCGGGCACCGGAAGCTGCTCAGAACA